CCACTGCTGGTAGAGTGCGGCTGCACGGCAGGGCGGGGAGGAGGGGAGTGGTAGGCTCCCCCACCTCCCGCACAGGGGGGGGTGCGCCGGCCTGGCAGGCCGTTCCGTCACGGGGGCGCGGGCAGCGGCTGCCCGGGTGGGGGATGCAGCACAGGGGGCATGCAGGGCCCGCGCTGCTGGCAGGCGCAGGCTGGGCGGGGCCAGCGCGGCTCCCCCGGCGCCGTACCGGAGGTGAGGGGCTTCTCGACGAAGCAGCCGCCAGCGGAGCGGGACTGGATGCGAAAGATCCAGTGGGTGAGAGCAACCTGCAGGGCGGGACAGGGCCTGGCTGCCCGGTTAGTTGCACGCCACAATCAGGGTGGGCGCACCCCTGCGCGCTGCGTACCGTGGCCTGGGGATGCGCCTGCTGTGCTGCCGCACAGCGGCGGTAGAAGAGGCCCAGCATGTACGCATACTGGTGGAGGGAGGATTGGGTGCTGCGGTAGGTGAAGGTGACTGGCTTGTCCACCCGCTCCCCCTGCCGGCACTTGGTGCCGTTAGGCGTGACCTCCAACGCGTAGCCGTCGCCCAGGTGGGCAGGCGGTGGCCAGGCTACCTCGCCCAGCCTGCACGGGAGCAGGGGCGGCAGCGTAGACGGGGATAAGGGAGGGTGGCAGGCACCTGACCGGGCCCACCGGGCATGCTCGCTCACCGGTCGGTGTGGTCAAGGGCGGTGAGCAGCCCGGCCTCCTTGCCTCGCTGACCGCCCTCCCAAAGGTAGACTGCCACCGTGGCCAGCTGCAGGGAGGCCAGCTGCCGCAGCCAGCTGTTAGCCGCGTCCTGGCTCTCAGCCCACAGCCGGTTCACCAGCTCGTGCACCTCATGCTCGTACCACGGCACGGCTGCAGCACAGCAGCGCCGCAAGGGTGGGGTGGGGCCAGCTGGCTGATGAGAGCGGCGGGCCCTCCCCATGTGGCAGGGCATCCCCCCCCCCTCCTACCTGAGCCCTGCTCGTAGCCGGCCTCATGCAGCTGCCGCTTGTAGCCAGTCTTGAAGTCGGTGACTTCAGGGGAGGTGATGGGGTTGCCAGTGCCGGCATCCTCGTCGTAGTCGCCCAGGCGTCCCAGCTGCCAGAAGGCAGTGGACAGGGCACTCAGCATGCAGTTCAGGCCGGAAGGCGATGAGGCCACGTCCCCGCTGGGCAATAGCGTTCCTGTGGGGGCAGGGCGTCGCGGCGATAGTGAGCAGCGGGACACGGGTGGGGCGGTGGGGCACGGCCATGCGGCCGGGCACAGGCCTGTGCCTGCAGCCCACCCCTGGGTGCCGGCTGCTGCCTGCCGGGGGCTTACCGCCATGGTGCCGCAGCCAATGCTCCTGGGTGAACCAGAGGACGCCCGCGGGGTCGATGGTCTCCATGGTGTAGCCCAGCTCCGCCGGGAGGGAGCTCAACCACCGCTGCAGCTCCCGGGCAGCCAGGCATGCCTGGGTCTGGGTGTCCTCGCGCCGGGCTCCCAGCTGCACTGCTGCCACCTTCCGAAGGGTGGCCTGCCGGCTAGCTAACACCTCCGTTAGCTGGCGGCGTGGGGTGGGGGCCGGGACGGCGGCGGCCCCCAACACCCTGCCCAGGCGCTCCTGCCGCAGCAGCGCCATGCTGGAGGGCAGACGGCTGGGTGCGGCTACCCCAGCCTGCAGAATGCAGAAAGGCAGCGACAAGGACTGGATTGAGTGGGGTCATACGCAGCCCAGACTGCTCTGCCCTGTGGGTGGGAGCGGCTTGTTAGCCGTTTGGGATGGCCAGGGTGGTGGTTGGGGAGACGGCCAGGCTCCCCAG